ACTGAAATATCATCGTCTCGTTAATTGTCTCTAAAGAGCAGTGTGGTTCGCGGGGAAGTCATCTCAACAAGCCTGATGAATATGCATTTCCGCAAGTGAGCGTTGCAGTTGATATTGATTGTATTCTTTACTTAGGAAAACTTCTAAATATAGCACATTTACGGTATCTTGTAAAGTGTTGTTTCTTAAGTTGCACTCATGCACATGTATTACCACTGAAACATCTGCAATTCAATTATATAAATGTGAAACATATCAATGAATTCATCAGTTCATATTCTTCATCTGTTAATCCTGTCAATGACCTAGCACTTAGTACTAGTAATCTTCAAAAATAAGACCACATAATCCCCGTTTCTTCATGTCATAAGGAAAGTTTTTCCACAGAGGTTTTAAATACGAGAGGAGTGACGCAGAGATACGGCTTAATCACAGTAAGCCCGCCCTAAAGCATACTCTGCTTTATGGTCTATTTGACTCTAAATGGACCATCATATACTAAATTAACACCAGTCTCTGTAGACTGTAAAGAAACACGGACGTAGCATCAGTGAGAAGACGTTCTAAGCAACAACGACCTCCTAAAAAGGTTAGCGTGGACGCTACAATAGCATCACTTCTATCAGAGTATTTCTTCACCGAGACATGAGCAGATGTTGGCGCTGAAGGATTTTCTTGATGAAATAGATGTTTTTTGCTTTTCTCCTGATTGGCTTTGGTAAAAGTTTGACCGGCAGATGGTTCATCCAATCACCTGCCAAGAGCCACAGAAGATACAGCGGAGCACTCCCTGAAACGAGTTTTCTGACCTCAATATGGAAAATCAGTGAGCTGAGAGGACAAAAAGAAGACAGAAGTGGTGGTTGCTTCCAGGTTTCAATACAAGAAGCATTGATAGCCTGAGGTTGTCCTGGGTTGTAACATTCAGTGTGTGAAGACAGTTGTTGGTGAGAAAAGGAGCCTAAATGCCAAGTCAATGCCTCTAGATAAATGAGGGTTTAAAAATAAATAAATAACTCAGTGTAATTGATATCAAGCCTCTTACTTGCAGAGGCATTGACTCGAGTTTCCCCCTAATGGAATGAAGGAGAAAAGTTTGACTCCGCTGCTGCTACACATCTGGACAGGTGCGTCTCATGAGTCAGCACGCCTGCAGAGAGTTGCACACTCTCGATTTGGCTCAGCAGCTGTTCCGCTTCACTTTAGCTCCCAGCATGCCATCGCCTTATTACACTCTTATTAATATAATATCATTAAGTCTCCTCCCGACCGTCTGAGTACCGCAATTCATACACACCTCGTATCTTTCATCCCTTTTGGCAGGGCCAGATAACGGCAGAGTCCAGAGAGATCTACAGCGGGTTCACGAGGGTGGAACTGATTATTTGCTGGCCGATTGGAGTCTGTGGAGGATAGAGGGTGAACTGGAGAGGTGGTTTGGGGAGGGGGGCATTGAATCATTTGCCGTATTTATTATCCGTCCTGCATCTCCTAGATCATGTAGAAGAATGGCCTCCATAACCTTGGGCGTTCATGGCCTCTGAAAACTCTCTCCTCACCCCCCCCCCCAATCGCTATATTTTCATAACAAATCTGTCAAAAAAAAAAACAAAAAAAAAACAGCAAACAGAAAACTCACATGAGCTCATGGCCTCCAACATGCTTAAAGTCAATATTTATTGGGAGATAATGAAGGAGGGCCGGGAGAGCGAGGGATCGATACAGCCGAGCCCTGATGACGGAAACCGGCAACGCCGGGCCGGGTGCTTCGCTAACAAGGCCAGGTGTGATTTAAAATTTATCAAAGATCTGGACGTGTTTCTGTGTTCGGGTTTAAAACAATTTTTTTCAAATCACTTTGGCTGCTTCTGATAAATGTTTCCCCGCTGCGGTGAATCTCAAACTAAAAAACAGCCCCAAAATCTACAAAATCCAATAACCACACCAGAGTTATTTCCCCTGACTGGGTCTCTGAAAAAGGCATTCACTATTTAATTTCTCCAATGAAAAACAGACAGATGAAGCTTTTTTTAAGGAAATTTAGTGGGTCCTTACGGCATGCTAAGGAGGCTGTTTTTGCAGATTTACAGGCTCCCAGCTATTTGACATAAAGCCAATATCCCTGTATTCCTGAATATTGCAATGATAAAGTCAGGACCTGTGCAAACGATAATAAAATAACCCAGACAAGATTTGTCATTTATGAGTTGCACTATTACATCTTTAGAGCTGGTAATAGTTTTAGCGCTTGGCTGGTGCACCTTGTCTCAAACCATAAAAGCGCACAATCATTTTGGTATTGACTTTATGGTTAACAGAGAAGAACGGACATTTGAACAGAGTGTTTGTGCACCCAAACATTACACCCACAGTGTGACACATGGACTACACTTGACCCCCAAAGTCCAGTTTGCTTGATTGGTGTGAACACCGTGTACTGTACCGCTTGAAAAGGCGGTCTCGAGTACTGTTTCATAAATTTTTATGGTCTAGATTTTAGCCATCCCTTCTAAATGGTCACTTCTATTTTTATAAGGTGGAGTCCGCCATTCCACCGCAGGATTTAAAGTTAGGTCATTAATGTTAGTTCACATTAAAAGCACTCCACAACTAAAACAATGGGGTGCCTTTTACTATGGAGCAGCATCAGTAAATGAGATGTATTTGTCACCAAGGTCAGCACTGACACTAAACAAGACGTGGTCACTCTGGGTACTTTTGGACAGCATCAAGTCAAGTCACTTTATTTCTACAGCCCAAAAATCTGTACAACACATGACACCCTCTGTCTCTGGACCCTTGTTTCAGATAAGAATAAACTCCCTCAAAACACCTTTAACTGAAACCTCAGGAAGAGCAGCTGAGGAGGGATCCGTCTGCCTGGACGGACGGACGCACAATAGATGTCGTGTGCACGGAATGAAGTAAAATTACAGCTTAGACAACCAAAGAGACAAAATAATATGTAGAATGAAAAACATATATGAAAAAATGGATCCAGGAGGAAATTCAAGCAGCTTCCAGGTGTCGCCAAACAGAAGCTGAGCCACAGGACCTCCTTTACGCCATGGAACCAGTACCAGAGGGAGAAAGAGAAAGACAAGAGGACAGGCTGAAGGACGGAGACCCAGATCCAACATATGGGATGTGGCAACCAGGGGGAGAGAGAGAGAGGTCCCAGGATAGAGAAGCCCGGGTTAAAAGAAAGAGACAGAAGAGAGAGGCAAACAGCTGTGCTTGTGGGACACAGCGACAGAGTGGATTAGTTTTAAATAATGTGAGGAGTAATGGAACAAGAAGGAGCCCCCCCCCCCCGTGAGCTGCAGGTGATGGGCGGCAGGCCTCCGCCTCATCACCAAAGCAGCAAACTCTCATCACTGGGCTCTGCCGTTTAGTGGAACGCCACTCGCGCAATGTTCTGGATAAAATCAGTCGCTCATGCCATGATAGAAAAAAACTCAACTTTTTCAAAACTACACAAGTTTGTTTGGCTGCACCAGTTGCCCTTTCAGTTGTATGTTTGGGCCGAAACCTCAATGTTTATGACTTAAACCCCCTCCAGCTCAGACCAGTGTTCTAGTTCACCCCAAACACGTCGGATGGGGTTGAGGTCGAGAGCTGGCTTTGTTGCACACATTGAAACAAAAAAACAAACTCACAAGATAGAATGCAAAAGTACGGACGTCACTTGGGGGCTGCCGCTCTATCAACAGAAGTGAAACGTGTTCCTGTGGTTATCTGTCCATATTCTACACAATCTGTTTCACATGAAGCGTGTCCTCCCTTCGATAACCACCCTGTCAACCAGTTGTGGGGTCCTGCCTTTAATTTTTTCTCCAGCTCCCTGGGAAGTAAGAAAGAACATTGTGAGGCAGCCGGCAGCGGATTGGACCAGTATTGTGAGGCAGCCTCATCAGCGCAGGACGGCAGGTTCCTCCCCTCCTTGGCCCACCGCTGATGTAAAAGCCCGTGACAGGTCACGTTGACCCCGGTGGAGCTTTTCTGTGCCTGGCTGATAAGCTTCATCTGTATCAGGTCAAACAATGGAGAGAAGGCCCAGACTGTAACGTAGCGATACCATGCCATTTCATTGAGAGGCTCTGTCAAGAAGACCGACACCCGCGTTATCCCAACTGCAATCTCCGTGCAACACGGCGACGGCAGTGTCATTGAGCATGCCTCTGAGGGGGATCACTGACAGATCGACACATTTAATATGGAACAGTACAAAACAGGTACAGGTACAATCCTCATATAGTGAAGCGTTTTGCCAAAGTGAACTTTCCAGACACATTTATTGGGCTGATAACATTACTCAAACACAGTGTATGACCATTGTAAACAATAAAACAGAAAAAAGGCATCAGCTCAGACTGAGAACCGCTCCGGAATTCAAAGTGCGCCAAGCTTTTTAAAATTCTCAACTTTTTTTTTTTTTTTGTTAATTCCTCTTAATATATTTATTTTGAATGTTAATTCATGACTTTTCTTTACATATTCATTTTTCTGCAGTATTGATAATTATAATATGTACAAACGAGGCCAAGACACTAGTTGTTCTGAGGCCGTAGGAAAGCCCGTCAGCATTTGCTCGTCTCCCGTGACATGACTGGTTTTGGAAAAATGACAAGGTACAGTAAGGCTGTGTTCCCTCTGCGTCGCTTTTTGCTGATAGCATGCCTTGTGGGTAATGAAATGTCCGCGTGGGGCTGCGCGCCGACCACTTCGTCTTGACCGGAAGGATGGGGGCAGTAACTTAAGTCCTCGGATTTTCCCACTGTCAGCAACATTTTTTATGTACAAAGGCGTTAAAGTCCCAACGTCGTCCTATTGGTTGGGAGGTCAAATAAATGCTTCCCTGTTTTTTTTATTTTTATTTTTATTTTTACTTTGTTTCCAAGTGTCTTATTTTGGTTTTCTCCCAAAAAAAAGTTTTGGTATCAAAATGTCCGTATAGATATAGTTGTACAGTGGGGATGGGGGGGGGGGGGGGGGGGGTGGGGGGGGGGGGGGGGGGGGGATTGTTAGCGTGTGCTAGATCGAAGGGGTTCAAACTGTTCTCAATGTATGAAAAGAAGAGTCTCTTCGCTCGCGATACAAAGTTCCTTATTGGTACAATGTCCGGTGTTTATACAATGCCATGAAGTAATCTGGGATGAGATGCAGCCTTTAGCCCCGTTTCACATCTCTCTCCTCCTCCTCCTCCTCCTTGTCCTCCGTCCTCCCCTCCTCCTCCCTCGCCTCGTCCCGCTCTCTCCGTCTCTTCGACAACCGTCTCCATGCTCATCCAAGGGAGGCTACTTCAGCAACCACTCGTTCACTGGAAGAGAGGAGAAGGACAGGAGTGAGAATATTGATTTATATATGCAGCACTCTCCACAGTTCAGCTATTCTCCAGCATTACCCCACCCCCACCCCCCACACCATATTTCATCTTTAGGAAAAATACATACAATTCAAAAGGAGTGGCACTCGAGTGAATGTGTCGCCGGGTGGGGTGACGGGATGGGGTGGGTGGTGGTCGGTGGGGGGGTGCCATTATGTTTTGAGTGGCGGCCTTGACAGAAAATGATACCCGAAGCGAGCAAGTGCCAAGACGTAAACATTGTAATTTGATAAAAAGAAATATATATATATATAAAAAAAGGTGTCTCGCTGTTATGGGAAAGAAGAGATTTATTGGAGTATTATTATAATCACATTTCCTTTCATCAGCTGAAAATTAAAGAGTAAACACACACACACACGCACGCACGCACACACACACACACACACACACACACACACACACACACACACACAC